GGAGAATTCACCAATGCTCACCTTGAAGTTGTCATCCCCACTGCTCGCGCACTCATCCCACCCATCCGCCTGCAATTTGGTCTGCGGAACCCATGCGGAGGCGATTGCGATGACTGCTTGGCGTTGGCTGGTGCATCTCTGCGGCGGCGCCAGCCCGCGCATGCACGCGCGCGCAACGGCTAACTAGGTTGGCGCGACCGACGCGGCCGCGGTGGCGCTGACCGTTCGGCACATCCAAGCGGGCACTTCAATGCGAGTCGGCGACTTGGGCGGGCGCGGTATCATGGCAACGTCGATAACGGTTGACACGATGATGATAATAGTGATGCTGGTGACGATGTTGACAACGACGTCGGCACGGCCAGTGATGGCGCCGATGCTGATCACGCCGACGACGATGACGGTGTTTTCGCGTCGGTGATGAAGGCTTTGGAAGGAGTTCGACATGCGCGCGCGGCCGACGCGGAAGAGTGGCCCGCGTGGAGTTAAGTCCGAATGATTTCGACATGCGGCGCGAGAGGCCCGTTTGGCAGAATTCCATGCCCTGTTGAAAAGCTATGGTTTTCTTCAGGATTCGCAAGAGCGCGAGCGCATGAAACCACCCCCAAAAAAAACATGAGTGCGATACCATACGTTTTTATATGGTTTCGGGGCGCTCGGTTTTGAAATCTCTACGGCACCTGAGGTTTTTGAAAGATTCCGGCATGCGCGCGCGGCGACGCGCGCGTGTGCACTTCGTCCCATGTTTTGCGGAGGGGGAGGGTTCTTGCGACAGCACGCGCGCAAGGGCGTTCGAACGATTTCGACATGCGTGCGCGCGAAGCCCGCTTGTTAGCATTGTATGACATGTTGAAACACCGATGGTAGTCTTAAGAATTCGCAAGAGCGCGAGCGCAGGCATTTTTTTGTTTTGAATATTTGTGTATTAGTATATGATTTTAAACAAAGAACAGAACACATAACAATCATGCCTTTAAATTTCTAGTAACTTTTTATTTTTTCCATACTCGACTTTTTCTTACGCAGCGTAAGTTTTGAAGGATTTTGACATGCGCGCGCAACGACGCGCGCGTGCACATCGTCCCATTTGTTTTGCAAAAAGTTCTTGGAACTGTATGATTTATGATCAGCGAACGCGCGCACATAGTAGTATTTTCCCAGACGATGAAGGAGGGAGGTCGATACCAATTTAGCTGGGATGCTCTGGGTTCATCTTTAGGATGCACAATGGGGCAAACTCATGTGTAAATTGCAATACGAAAAAAATGAGCCGTCAACTCCGGGGGGGAGGTATATCCAAATTCTCTTTTAGAGAAGAGAATCGATGCTGTGCTAAATCGGTTGCGCAGACTGCCTTGTGCAGTACAGATTGTGCAATATTTGTGGGTCAGTATATGTGGTGCAGTCTGTGTGGTGGAAACAATGTTGTGCAATCTATGGGGTGCGCAATGTAGGTGTTGCAGTCGGCGTGGTGCAATGTGGGTGGTGCATCATGCAATTCAGTGTATTCCATGTGGTTCAGCCTGACTGATGCAACAACTGTTGTGCAACACATGTTCTGCAGTCTTCGTGGGGCAATCTGGTAATGCCATCATCGTAATGCAAACTGTTTTGCGAATCTATGTGGTGCAATCGACATGGTGCAATCCGTGTGGTGGACTTTAGGTTGTGCAATCTATGTGGGGCAATCTAGGTGGTGCAACCGACGTGGTGCAATCTGTGTGGTGCAACATATGTGGTTCAACATGTGTGTGACAATCCATGTGTTGCAACCGACGTGGTGCAATCGATGTTGCAACATATGGAATTAAATCTACGTGGTGCAATCTGTTCTGTACAATCTAGGCAACAATGGGGCGGCGACGGCGAGCACGAAACCGCCAGACCGCCAGCCAAGCCCAGACGACGGGCTGCGACGAGGCGGCGGCGGTGAGCACGGAACCGTCAAACCGCCAGCCAAGCTCAGACGACGGGCGGCGACGAGGTGGCGACGGCACGGCAACGGCGAGCACGGAGCCGGCAGACCGCCAGCCAGGCCCAGCTCCATAGAAGAGAACAAGAACCTCTGAACGCAAACGTTCCCTGGGGAACTACTTTCCTCCCTCCCCCCGAGATAGCTGGGGAATGGCCCACCCCCTTCCGTGAAAAGATTTTTTACAGGAGCAGCAATTACCAGAACATGGTTTCAGTCATGTACTTATTGATAAGATCGTATATTCTTGATTTAAATGTCAAGAGTTATCTTTTTCAATGAACTTTCTTGCGCCTCTCAATCGGAACGTTGTCGGTGTGTCAACATGGGGCTCCCGCTGCAGCTTCGGCCTCATTTCAGCATCTGCGCTTTACTCCAATCGGTCAAATAGCGCTCTCGCCCCAGCGCACGGCGGGCCACTTTTCTGGATCCGAATGCTTCCTCATCGTTGTCGCCCCGCTCCTGTCCCCTCCCCCGCCCTCCCCTGGTTATCTGGCTCTTCCTGCTTCTTCCACTTCTGCTCCTGCGGCTGCTGCTTCTCTTCGTCCTCCTCCTTCATCCTCCTGCTTGTCCTCCTGCTCATCCTCCTGATTATTCGACACTTCCTCCTCCAATGTGCGCAGTTCCCCTCGTATGTTTGCGCATGGCACACTGAGGTCGGTCCTTCTAGGGGTTCCAAGTCCTCCTCGTCCTGCTCCTTCCTCCTCCTCCTCCTCCTCCTCCTCCTCTTCCTCCTCCTCCTCCTCCTCCTCCTCCTCCTCCCCTTCCCCACCCGGCCCCTGGGAGCAACGAGGGAAGGACAGGTAGGGTGAAGGGGATGTAGAAGGAATCAGGGATGGAAAAAATGCGCTGATGGGTGGATGGGAAGATGACGGAATGCGGTGATAGAGAGACGTAGAACGGAATAGATCAACGCCGCCCTGATGCCTCCGCACCTGGCAGAGTGATCAAACTTCTCACAGAAGACTGAACAAACGGTAGAAGCCTCTGCGTGATCGGCTCCACAGACCTCACGAACACTTGCGTCGACCTAGCATGTTTTGTGTGGTCTCCTCCTCCTCCTCCACCTCCTGCTGCTCCGCCACCTCCATTAACCAGAACCACATCCTCATGCTTCACCTCCTTCGTGTTCTTCCTTCACCTTCACCCTCTCCTCGCTCTTCTCCTTGTTCTTCTCTTCTCCCTCCGCCTCCTCCATGCCTCCTCCTCGTATCACCAGGCTTGTCGGCAGGACGGGCACAGCGCTTTGTCTGAGACCCCTTGTAATTTGTGGCCCTAAGCTTGAATGCGGATCGGGGGCGGGTCCCTTAAAACATGTGGCAATCGCATTAGCGCCGCGTGCATTCGTCTGACAGCAATTGCAAGGATGGATGGCGGATGGTTTTCAGAATGCGCCTCTCGCACGAGTGCTGCGCACATTCGTCTTAAACAAATCAAGCATCTACAAGGATGGAGGGCGCGTCTTTTTCAAACTGTGGTATTCGCCGTCATGCCACGCACGTTCGTGGTCGAATATTCCAGCAGCGGCAAAACATAATAGCAGAACGTTCTCAAAATGTGGCTCTCGCTATAGCGTCGCGTACAGCGGCCTTCAACACATCCCTTAAGCAACATTTAGGGAGGCTCGTTTTCGAAATGGGGTTTTGCTTGAGGCTTCATTTGTTTTTGGATCGGGGGTTGAACACTGTGCAGCAGTTGCCCGGATGAAAGGTGGTTTCTTTTCAGCATGAGGCTCTCCTTGGAGACCTTTCAATACCCACGACCAGAAGTTTCAGACGGTGCATCATGTTAAACGGATGGGGGGCGGCTCCTTTTCAAAAAGGGGCTCTCGACCGATACATCTTCCTTTGTTTGCTCCTCCAGAAATAAGGTTCAATTCTTTTTTCAAGACAGGGCGTTCTATTTTTGTAGGGGAACGAGCAATGACATAAACATCAAACCTCGGAGGTCCGCGCGGATTTCTTGGATCGGCGCTGGACCCCCCTCCCTGGCGCGCGGAGCGCAACAGGGGCGGCGCCGGAGGCGCCGCCAGGGAGGTCCAGCGCCGATCCGAGAAATCCGCGCGGACCTCCGAGTTTTTATGTTTGTGCCATTGTTCGTCCCCCATCTTGTCAAGACAAGCTTTGTCTCAGAATGTATCTTCCTTCAGGGAGTCGTGGCGAGGGGCCCTGGGACGGGAGGGTGTACTGCAGCACCGCTGATGCATCCCTGGTTTCTGATGGTCTTCTTCCTCCCACTCCGGCTCCTCCTCGTCCTCTGCCTGTCTCTCTCTCTCTCTCTCTGTTCCCTCCTCGTTCCTCCCTGCCCTCTCGCCGCGCTGCCCACCTTCTCCCTCCGCCTCTCCTCCCTCCTACCTTCCCCGCTCTGGCTTCTAGTTGCCATACTGTGCCGCCTTCACTCCTCCCTTCTGCCCGCTCCCTCGTTCATCTTTCATCAACCTTCTTCCTCTTCCGTTCCTGCTCCTCCTCTCTCTCCGCCCCGCCCGCCATCGCCGCCGCCGGCCTCCAGCAGAACTCCAGGGGAACTCTTTTGCTGCGCGTGTCGCGGCGGCGGCCCGGGCGACACGCCACGCCCTGCGAGTGAACAGCGTGCCGCGGGAGCCTCGGACAAGGCTCGGGACGCTGACGTTCGGGGCCTGGCACGTGGACAGCGTGTCGCGCCGAAGCGCGGTGGGCCAGGACCCGCGGAGCGACGTGCTGGCCCGACAATTCCGGACCGCAGCACCTCTTCTGCCTCGGCTGGCTTGCCGCGGTCTCCTGCGGGCTTCACGGAGGATGAGGAGGGGCATGCCCCTCGCTCCCCCCTGGGGAGGCCCTGCCCGAAAGCGGGGAGCTGGCGACGATAGGCGGCAACATCGTGGCCCACCAAACCAGGACACTGCAAACCAGGACTTTGGACAAATCCACCTGGAGAGAACGAAGAGCGGAGAATGATTCGACCCACGGCCACAGTCTTCTCGGGCGCGCCAGAGAGTCCTGGCTTGCCCAGGTCCCCGTCTGGGGGGCCCTGATGCAGCAGTGCGAGCGGCCTTCCGGTCGGCATCAATCGGGTCCAGCGTCTTCTCCAGGAAGTGCCTGTAGATCGGTGGAGGGCTCAGGACCTGTGCGGGGGCGCCCGGCGGCCGGCATCTGGCGAGGCCGCCGCCCGCGGTGGTGGCGTGTCGGGATCTGCAAATCTCACGAAGCAGCGACCAGAGACCAGAGAGTCGCCTGCATGAGCAGTTTCCAGAACAGCTGGCCGTCGTCCTGCTACGAGGGGGTGTGCGTGTCAGCTTGCCATCTGGCCGACCGCGGCCAATGACGTCTCGTTTTTCCCTTCGCTCCTGTGCGTTCGGAGAAGGAGAAGGAAAGCTCAGCGGACGCGCACCAGCCAGTACTTCGAATCGAATCGCACTGCCACAAGAAACGTCCAGAGAGGTGGAGGCGATAGGGAAGGACGAGGACCAACAGGAGGAGTATGACCAACAGGAGGAGGAGGAGAAGGAGGAGGAGGAGGAGGAGGAGGAGGAGGAGGAGGAGGACGAGGAGGACGAGGAGCAGGACGAGGAGGAGGACGAGGAGGAGGACGAGGAGGAGGACGAGAAGGAGAAGGAGGAGGAGGACGAGGAGCAGCAGGAGGGGGGAGTGGGCAGCGTTGTTGCCAAGATTGGCTGCTACGCACACCGCCTGCCGAGTACAGAGCAACGGCCCAGAAGTACAAACATCACTGTCGAGACGAGATGAGGACATTTCACTTTGCCCTCTTGGCGGGCGAGCCCTCGAAACTTAGTGTGCCAATGCTCCGACTTTCGAACCGCTGCCGCTTGGCCAACGTTTCCTTTGCAGCCCGTTCATGTTGGGATGAGGTGCAAATGATTTTCCAAACCAGCTACATGATTCTGTGTTGGTGACGGCACGGGCCCCATTCGGCAGGAGAAGCTGGCATGTCCCCGCGCTGCCTCCTCGGCTGTCCCCGCTGCCCGCCAAGGCCCCAGTGGCACAGTCCGCATGCGTCCCCCCGCCCCTTTCGGCACACCCCTCACACGCTTCGTGGCCCCGTAAGGCGCTCCACCCAAGGCCCCAGAGGCACAGTCCGCATGCGCTTCCCGCACACTTGAGTACATCCCTCACACGCATCGTGGCTCCATGGACAGCTCTACCCAAGGCCCCAGTGGCACAGTCCGCATGCGTCCCCCCGCCCCTTTCGGCACACCCCTCACACGCTTCGTGGCCACGTGAGGAGCTCCACCCAAGGCCCCACTGGCACAGTCCGCATGTGCTTCCCGCACACTTGGGTACATCCCTCACACGCATCGTGGCTCCATAGGGAGCTCCACCCAAGACCTCAGTGGCACAGTCCGCATGCGCCCCCCCGCCCATTCTTGGACACCCTTCACACGCTTTGTGACCTCATAGACAGCTCCACCCAAGGCCCCAGTGGCACAGTCCGCATGCGTCCGCCCGCCTATTTCGGCACGCCCCTCTCACGTTTCGTGGCCCCATACGCAGCTGCACACTCCTTCGTCCCACCTGCCTTTCGGTATTCACACTTGCATCTGGTCGGGTCCTTCGCCAGGATAGTTCATTCTACGGCGCCTCGCGAGGCTCGAGGCTCGAGGAGGAGGAGGATGGTGGGCCGAGGCTCGAGGATCGAGGAGGAGAAAAGAAGCCCGCGGCCGCGGGACCCGGTGGTACGTGAGCTTGCATACCTTCCTGGCGGAGACGCTGGCCTTGTCGAAGGCGGCTGAGCTCCGGAAGCCTCCCGTGGCCGACATCTCCTGGGCGGCCGCGAGGCGCACTCCCGCGTCGCGCCGCGCCCCCGCCCCTGCCCCTCATCACGTCTTCGTGCGCAAGGCCATTTTCTTCCCTCGGCCCCTCCTCCTCTCCTCCTCCTCCTCCTCCTCCTCCTCCTCCTCCACAACCTCCTCCTCTTCCTCCTCCACAACCTCCTCCTGCTCCTCCTCCTCAGACTCCGGAAGGCGTGACTCGGAAGCAACACACACTGCACATAAGCTTGATGCTACCATGCAATCGTTGACCATGGGAGGGGTCTATCTCCTGTTCTTCCTCCTCCTCCTCCTCCTCCTCCTCGCCTTCAACCCCCTTCTCCCTACATATCTTCGTTCTCCTCTTCCTCTCCGAACGCGGTTTTCCCCAATTAGGCTTGCCTAAGGGATCTTACTTGGTTAAAGGTTGGTGCCTCCTATTGTTACTTTGCGCGTTGCTCGGAGGTTCCTCGGGTTTCTCGGGTTCCCCGCCTCTGGTGCCTCCTATGTTTACGTTGTGTTGGGGCGGGGGCCCGCTGGTTTGGGTGGTGCTGGCGTTGTTGCGGGGGGGGGGGGGGGGGCCTTGTGGTGTTGGTTGGGGTTGTGGTGTTTAGCCGGGTGGGTGGGGTGTTGTTGGTTGGCTTGTTTTTTTTTTTGGGGGGCTGGCTGGGGTGGGGTGCGTTGGCTTGGGGACGTTGCTGCGGGGGGTTGGGTTGGTTGGCCCCTTGCGGGCTTGTCCCGTTTTTTTCCCCAGAGGTTCCTCGGGTTTCCTGGGTTCCTCGTGTTCCCCGCCCCTGGTGCCTCCTTTTGTTACGTTGCCCGTTCCTCGGAGGTTCCTCGGGCTCCCTGGGTTCCTCGGGTTCTTGCAAAGCAATGCCAAGCAATGAGAAGCAATGCGCAGCAATGCGAAGCAATGTGAAGCAATGCGAAGCAATGCGAAGCACTGCGAAGCAATGCGAAGCACTGCGAAACAATGCCAAGTACTGCCAAGTACAGCCAATAAATTCCAAGCAATGACAAGCAATGCCAACCAATGCCAAGCAATGCGAAGCAATGTCAAGCAATTTGGAGCAATGCCAAGCAATGCCAAGCAATGCGAAATAATGCGGAGCAATGCGAAACAATGCGAAGCAATGCGCATCAATGCCAAGCAATGCCAAGAAATGCGAAACAATGCGGAGCAATGCGAAACAATGCGCATCAATGCCAAGCAATGCCAAGAAATGCGAAGCAATGTAAAGAATTGCGAAGCGATGAAAAGCAACGCGAAACAATGCGAAGTAATGCCGAACAATGCGAAGCAATGCGAAGTCATGCCAAGCAATGCCAAGCAATGCCAAGCAATGCGAATCGATGCCAAGCAGTGCCAAACAATGCCAAGCAATGCCATGCAATGACAAGCGATGCCAAGCAATGCCAAGCGATGCCAAGCAATGCCAAGCAATACTAAGCAATGCCGAGCACTGCGCCCATGCAATAGGAAACTTTCCTCTAATTGGGGTCGCGCCAAAATCATTTTCAACGATTCGAGACAACGCCCGTCACCAGGGACGCTCCCCCACCCTCCCCGCCCTTCGGGAGACGTCACGATGGCGCCAGCGCGAATCCTTATGGTACCACCCCCTCCCCACTGGTTTAGGGTCTTATCGTGAGACGAGGAAACACTCTCCTTTCTCCTCTCCTCATCCTCCGCCTCCTTTCCTCCTCCTCCTCCTCCTCCTCCTCGGGGGGGCCCCCTCCTCCTCCTCCTCATCCTCCTCTTCCTCCTCCTCCTCCTCCTCCTCCTCCTCCTCCTCCTCCTCCTCCTCCTCCTCCTCCTCCTCCCTCATCATTGTCCGCAAGAGGCCAGACATAGGACCCCAATAATCACCCGAAAGCGCCCCCTAAGGCCCCGAGTCAGTTTTAGAAGCTCAAGGAAAGCCCTCCACAAAGTAGAGCAACATTCATGCAGCGTTTCGGCCACGCCATGATATGCATTGGAACTACCGAGCTTGTCTGGGTCAGATCGATCGACCATCGTCAGGGACCTAAGAAAGCTTCGTCGCGTCCCCCCCGCCCCCCCTCAACCGCCTTATCCATCCAAGTGCAATTTCCAACGGTTTTCGAAACGTCGCCATCTAGCTGTTTTGATACGGTCCTTTGCTCTGTCCGGCGAGCCTCCTTGCCCCCCGAACATCTTTTCTCGTCGCCGGCGAGTGCTGGGAGAGCATGGTTTGTGTCGACGAAGGCGCGAGGAGAGGCGAGGAGTCGGGAAGGGAGAGGAGAGGAGGGGAGAGGGAAAGTGACAGGGACTGAGGTGGTCAGCGCATGAAGATAGGCTGCGTTCCCAAATGCCCGGGTGCCTTCGGTCAAGCCCGCCGCCGTGCCAGCGCGGCATTTATATGCATGCGGCATGGTGATCGGACGCTGCGTTTCGAGGCCATGCTGTGAGCAAGCGGCGAGGCGCTTGTCAGTGTTCAGTCACGCTGCCGGCACCATGAACTCGAAACCACAACCCACAACATATGGAACTGCCTTCGCTGCACCCTGGCTACTGGCGGGCTGCTTCAATGATCAGGGGATGTCTTTGTTTTGGAGGGGGGTGGGTATTTCCCAACCTCCTTCATTGGGTACTCGTTTGAACAGAGCGCTGCGGTCTCCACCTCCTCCTCCTCTTCCTACCCACCTCCTGTCTCCTCTCTCCTGCCTCTTATCTCGTTCCTTTCTTCCAACCCTCCTGCGTTGGGTACTCGATTTGAATATAGAGCACTGCGGTCGCACATCTTCTCCCGCCTACAAGCCTCCTGTCTCCTCTCCTCTGCCTGTCATCTCGCTCCTTCCTGCGATCTGCGAAACTGTCGCCACTTTCGGGGGCTGCTGGAGGGTCCAGCGGAGCGACGTCCTGCGCGGATCAAAAGGAGACCTCGCCATCCCTGGGGGGTCGCGATCTGCGAAGCTGTCGCCAGTTTCGAGGGCTGCTGGGGGGTCCAGCGAGGTGACGTCCTGCACGGATCACCAGGGGACCTCGCCATCCCTTGGGGGCTGCGATCTGCTAAACTGTCGCCACTTTCGGCGGCTGCTGGGGGTCCAGCGGAATGACGTCCTGCGCGGATCACCCGGGGACCTCGCCATGATTGGGGGGTTGCGATCTGCGAAGCTGTCGCCACTTTCGAGGGCTGCTGGGGGGTCCAGCGGAGCGACGTCCTGCGCGGATCACCAGGAAAGCTCTCCATTCCAGGGGGGGTGCGATTTACGAAAGTGTCGCCACTTTCGATGGTTGCTGGGGGGTGCAGCGGGGTGACGTCCTACGCGGACCACCAGGAAACCTCGCCATCCGTGGGGAACTGCAATCTGCGAAACGGTCGCCAGTTTCGAAGGATGCTGGGGGGCGCAGCGGAATGACGTCCTACGTGAATCACCAGGAAACCTCGCAGTCCCTGGGGCGGTTCTGATCTGCGAATGTGTCGCAACTTTCGAGGGCTGCTGGGGGGTCCAGCGGAGTGACGTCCTGAGCGGATCACCCGGGGACCTCGCCATGATTGGGGGGTTGCGATCTGCGACGCTGTCGCCACTTTCGCAAACAACTGGGGGTGCAGCGGAATTGCGTCCTACGCGAACCCAATAGGAGACCTCGCCATCCCTGGGGGGTTGCTATCTGCGAAACTGTCGCCACTTTCGAAAGCTGCTGGGGTGTCAAGCGAGGAGACGTCCTGCGCGGACCACCAAGAAACCTCGCCATCCCTGGGGAACTGCAATCTGCGAAACTGTCGCCGCTTTCGCAGGCAACCGGGCAACGGAGTGACGTCCTACGCGGGTAACCAGGGGACCTCGCCATCCCTGGGGGGCTGCGATCTGCTAAACTGCCACCCTTTCGAAGGCTGCTGGGGGACGCAACGGAGTGACATCTTACGCGGGCCACCAGGAGACCTCGCCATCTCTGGGGTGCTGCGATCTGCATAACTGTCGCATCTTTCGAGGGCTGCTGGGGGGTCCACTGGGGTGACGTCCTACGCGGACCACCAGGAGACCTCGCCATCCCTGGGGTCCAGCGGAGTGACGCCTTTCGCTGTTACCTGGGAGTTGCTTCAATTTTCGGGGTCGTCAGGAAAGAAACAAAGAAGCTGGCGGGCGAGCTAGGCCTTGCTCGCTTCTTGCATGAACTATAAGCAAGTTTTTTTTGTTTCGAGCGCCGGGGCGACATGGCACAAGCAGCGTTGCATCTTTAGCGTGCTACTAACAAGAACCACACTCTTCGGTCTCCTCCCGTCACTTTCGCCGTCGTCCTCTGCCCCTTGTCACCTTCCCTCTGCTGCTGCTGCTGCTTCGCTGACGGTTCGGCCCCCATCGAGTCCTTCTCCTGCCCTTCGTTCCCGCCCCCGTGTCCTCCTCAAGCCTGGGCCCTCGTTCCTCGTTCTTCTGCTGTTGTCCTGTGAGCCGTGCCACGTGGGCGCATCGCATGTAGCTTGCACAACATGTAACGGCGCCTTCACTGTCATTGTCCTGGTAAGCCTGGGCCAACCCTTCTTGTCACTTGGTGCAAAAGGGTTGGGTACTATAGATAAATGTAGATGAAAGTGTGTGAATACTGGTTGCGTGCTGATATTTGGGAGGGATATAAAGGTAGGAGGAGGAGGAAGAAGAGGATGATGATGATGAGGAGGAGGAGGAGCGCGCGTAACTCATGAGGGCATGGTTACAGTACCGACTGGCGCGGATGGCCAGCTTCGTGGCACGCGAGAGCCTCAGGTGGTCCTCGAAGTCGCCACAGCGGGAGGACGAGGCCTCATGTTTTGCTTTAAACTTGTGTAGGAAGGAATGGCTTAGCATGACTAAGCGATGAGTGGTCTCTCGGGTGACCTGCGGATCATACTCAACATCGAGGCCGAGGCCGAGACGGGCCAGGGGGAGGAGGGGGAGGAAAAGCCTCGGACGTGTGAGGAGGGGGAGGAGACATGGGCAGGCCAGGTAATGATAACACTGATCGAAACCGTCCTCGCACCCTAATGGGCATGGGCGCTGGCCCAGAACGGGCATACGAACTGAGGTGACCCATCCCCATGCGAGAGTTTTGACGTGGGCGCACGCCCACCTGGGCTTGGACCGGGAGAGCACACCACGGAGTAAGGCCCAACGATGGGCCATGTCCACCAGCGTGGGAAGGGGCACCTGAGGGAACCAGGCCCTCAACCTTCAAAGGAAGGGAAGGGGGATAACGTCGGGGAAGACTAGGCGGGTGAGGGCCTGGGTGAAAGCATGCTGGGGCCTCGGGCGGCGAGGGGCGACCGCGGCGACGGTCAATTCCTCCGTGCCGGCAGGGGCGGCATCGCGTAGCTGTTCTAAGCGAAGCGAGTAGCGCGGCACACAGTCCAGGACCGAAGCGAAGAACTGTGCAATAATGTGTTGCCGCTGCTAATAATACGGAAGGCTCCATTCCCAACGAATGAATCTGGACGGCGGCCGATTCCACGCTGCAGATTCCCCTAACTCCAAAGAGATTTGCCGAACCCTGGAACCTGAAGTGCGGGCCGCAAACCTCCACGCCGATGCGCAAGCAAGAACACCCATCGACGCTGGGGCAGGACCAGGGATCCAGGCATTCAAAGACAGCGCCTCGGATCTTTTGAGCGTATCCGGGGGCAACCGAAACAGCTTGTGAACAAACCGTGGCTTTTTGGAAAGCGAAGAACAAGGGAGGATAAATAACTGACGTAGGTAGGAGCGGACGGAGAGAATCGAGAAACTGTACGTGCGGTATGCGGCCTCCGACGGCGACCGAATTGCTGCGACAAGGCGGGTCCGGAAGCACAGCTTTGATGCTGCCGCCTCCCACTGGGCCTCGAAGGTGGCCGCTGGACCAAGCATGATGCCGAGATGCTTGGCGAGGCCGGCAATGGAGAAGGAAGAGAAGAGTGGACCAAAGATCGAAAGGAGAACGGAGATAGCAGAAGCGACGGCGCCACAGCATGGGGTCCACAATGGAACCACCGCGCATCTTCTGGGCTGCAAGCTGAGGCGCGCAAGGCAGCGCGCAGCCCGAAACACTGGCTCAAGCTGGACAGCCTGGTTGAGACGAGGTAGTACAGCTCCAACATCGTCGGCGCACGCCCTGCCATCCAGATGATCGCACGGCGGTTCGCTACCATCGATGCCATCGGCGATGTGGAACAAGAAGGTGTCGGAGCACAATGCCCAAACTAGTCCAGACAGCTGGCACCCCTGAGCAACTCCAGCAGAAACCTGGAATAAGTACCGAAGCTCGTCACCAAACCACGCGTTGACCTGCAGATCGTGGTACGCAGCCCAGATCGCGCATATCGAGCCAGCCGGCAAAGAATGGTGGAGCAAAACGGCTGCGATCCACTGCCAGTTCATAGACGGGAAAGCAGCGTGCACGTTGTTCGAGAGGACAGCTACATCCTCGTGTCCTCCCGCCCTTCTGGTAGCAGCGTCCAGTTCCACAATATGCGAAATAAAATGGCGATCGCGTAGAAACCCTCTTTGGGAGGGGTGGCAGCGTGTTTCGGCAACCTGTCGAAGGTAAGAGTTGATCGTAGATGCCACGGCGTTCGAGTCGCTGTTCTTCAGAGTAAGCGGCCGCAGCACGTCAAGGGAGCGTACCAAGTTCACCAAATCCTTTGGTTGTACGTCCTTCGGTATGAAACACATCAAAGAGTGGTTGAAACCTGGTGGCGAACCCCGGCCGCTGAAGATGTCTATCACAATCAAATGCGACACTTCAATAGCATCCTCGTTCGCCACCCAAAGGCGATACGGGAGGCGATCAGGGCCAGGTGCAGTTGCCTTGCCAAGGCGGAGAGCACGCCGCAGGTCTGCCTTCGACGAGAAGGGTAGTAGAGGACGTTCATAGCGAGGGAGGTGCAAAGGAAGATGAGAGGATATGTCATCAGCAAGAACAGGTTTGGCTTGGGAAACGCGAGCCCCATGATGAGATAAGGCAGCAGCCACGTCAGCAGGATCTCGAGCCACCCAGTCAGCTGCAGGAAGCGGGGGGCGCACTCGGTCGTCGGGCTCGGGCAAAGGCAAGGAATCTGTCGTAACGGCGGCGCTCGCCGGGACTGCTGCACTTCCGCTCACCCCCTTTCCGCCGCCAGCAGCTGCAGGGTCACCATCCTGATCACGGCGAGGGCCCCCCGTCGTAACGGCTGCCGGGCGTGGTCGGATGTCAACTTTGTTTCCAAGGCCGTCAGATTCCCAAACCGCCCCCCCCCCCCCCGCCACCCCTAAGGGAGCTTAGGGGAGTTTTGTGGGCCCAGAGTGTGGGTCCAGGAGGAGGATGATGAGGAGGAAGAGGATGAGGATGAGGATCAGGAGGAGCCAAAAGGAGATAAGACAAGACACCACCGTGGGCCCGCTGCTCTGGTCTTGTCACACGAAAGCGGTGCCAGGCTGCGGCAGCAACATATAAGCACTGGCTAGCCTGCTGTGCATCTGCGAACGGAAGGTCCTCAAAACCTCCCTAAGTAGGCACCAGCAACCTCCGAGATCAAGCCTAATCTCCCTCAGCCTCTTCCCACTCCCTTCCCCCTCCTTCTCATGGAGGACTGGCTAGCCAGTGAGACCCGTATCGTCTCCTGTGGTCTCCAACGAAGACTCGGGTCGTGGGGCATGTTCAGCACGTCGGCCGGTCCTGCCCGGTCTCTGCTGTCGGCTCTCTTCCCCTCGCCACCTTGGAGCCCTGCGTATCTCGGACGCCTTTGGCTGCTTCTCCTCTTCTCCCTCGCCGTCGTCCTCCTCCTCCGCCTGTCCTCCGCCTCTGCCTATTCTCCCTCTCCTTCCCCCTTCTCTCTTTCCCCCCTGCCCCTCTCCCCCTCGCATCTCTTTCCACCCTCTCTTGCTCTTCTTCCTGCTCCTGCTCCTTCCTATTCCCTTCTGCTCCCCATTTTCCTCACTACCTCTCCTCCGCGTCCTGCCCATCCATCGCCACCTCAGCACCCTCCCTTTTCATCTGGTCTCCTCCTCCTCCTCCTCCTCCTCCTCCTCCTCCTCCTCCTCCTCTCCCTCCTCCTCCTCCCCCCCCTCCTCCTTCTCCTCCGCCTCCTCCTCGTCATCCTCCCTCCTCCTCTCTCTACTCCCTGTTCTCCATCTTCTTCTCCCTGTCTTCTCTCCTCTCCCCCCATCCTCCCCCCTCCTCCTCCTCCTGCTCCTCCTCCTCCTCCTCCCCTCCCCCTCCTCCTCCTCCTCCTCCTCCTTCCTCCTCCTCCTCCACCCCCTCCTCCTCCTCCTCCTCCTCCTCCTCCTCCTCCTCCTCCTCCTTCACCCCCTCCTACTCCACCTCGACCCCCTCGTCCTTTATCCATTTCTTCCGCTCCTTCTCCTCCTGCGCCCCCCTCATTTTCTTAAGCTCTGCCCCCGAATCCCCGTGTGCTCGCTGGTGCCCCGAGCCGAACACGCCCTGTGGCGGTCGGCACAGCCGCCACTGGCACAGCAAAGAAAAGCCCGCGCTGGCCTGAGCGCTTTCTTCGCCTTTCCCCTCTTCCTCTCCCTCCTCCTCGTCCACCACCTCCCCTCCTCTCCCCTCCCTTTCCCCTCCCTCCTCCCTCTTTCTCACTCCCCTCTTCCTCTCCCTCCCTCTTCCTCTCCCTCCCTCCCCTCTTCCTCTTTCTCGTCGTCCCCCATCGACGTCCCTCCTCGTCCACCACCACCACCACCACCCTCCTCCTCTCCTCCTCCGCATCCTCCTCCTCTTCCACTCCCCACAGGGTCTGGGATGTGCCCGAGTCTCCTTATTCCCGTCGAGCTTTCGCCTGAGTCCGCCTACATCGCCAGCTTTGCTCGCTATCTCTCGGCCGCGCTTGGATAACATATTGCCTCTCCTCTCCTCCTCCTCTCCTCCTCCTCCTCCTCCTGCTCCGACTCCCCTTCCCCCTCCCCATTCCTTCCCCTTCCTCGTCGTTGTTGTCGTCGTCGTCGTCTTCTCCTCCCTCCCCCTCCTCTCTCCTCTCCCTCCTCTTCGTCCTCCCCTCGTATTCCCCTCCTCCGCTCAGACCCTCGGTTCTGTTAATCCTCATCTCCCTCTTCCCCTAGTTCCCTCCCCGATTCCTCTCCTCCCCCTTGTTCTCCTCCGCAAACTCTTCCTTCTTCACCTCAGCCTCAGCCTCAGCCTTAGCCTCCTCCTCACCCTCCTCCTCCTCCTCCTCCGCCTCCTCCTCCCCATCCCACTCCTCTTCTCCCTTCCGTCCCCCTCTTCCCCCCAGTCGTCGATCTCGAACAGTCACCGGCGCCACAAGGTCGGTGAGCCACTCTCCCCTCTCCGCTCCCTCCCCTCTGTCTCCCTCTCTCCTATCTTCGCCTACCCTCGCCCTTTCCACAACTCCCGTCTGCCTCCCTCCCTCTGCCTACCCTCTGCCTCCCTCCCCTCTGCCTCCCTTCCTCTGCATCCCTCCCTCCCTCCCTCCCTCCCCTTTGCCTCCCTCCCTTCCACCCCTCTGCCCTTTCCACAACTCCCCCTCCCCTTCCCATCTGACGCGGTGTCCCCCCCGTCGGGCCGAAGCAAGCGTAGCTCTTCAGCATCTCCTCCGCCTGGCGCTGCCCGGCCTTGGTCGCGGTGTACGACGGCCTCCCGCGTGTGCACGGGCGCGCTCCGAACTGCCCGCCCTGCTGCGAGTCATTGCTCCTCCTCGTCCACCTCACCCTCGTCCTCGTCCTGCTTCAACTGCTCCTGCTGCTGCTTCTTCTCACTGTGCTCCCCTCATCCTCCATCCATGTTCCTCATACAGAACTCCTCCCTGTCGCACCCCGAAACGTGCCGTTATGGCAGGTTTCGCCTGAGACTTCTTCACCAGTAATGACCTTGAAACTTGAAACTCGCGACGATTTCACGGATGGGGGGGCGAGCCCAACATGCCCTTGGCGATTGCGCGCGGGGCACGCGTTTTCACGTGTCCACGGGGCCCCAGGGGAACCCGGTTTGGGGGTAACGAATTCTTCACACGTAACACTACGTGCGCGGAGGGGGGGGGGACAGGCGTCGCCGTGCAGGAGGGGAACGACGATGAGGAAAAGGAAGGTGGAGGCAGCAAGATGATGAGGAGGATGGGGAAGGAGAAAGGAGGAAGGAGGATGAGAAGGAGAAAGAGGAGAAGCAGGAGGAGGAGGAGGAGGAGGAGGAGGAGGAGGAGGAGGAGGAGGAGGAGGAGGAGGAGGAGGAGGAGGATGGGAGGAGGAGGAGGAGGAGGAGAAGGATGAGGAGGTTCGGAGGAGAAGGAGGAGGAGGAGAGAGAAAGGAGGAGCAGGAGGAGCAGGAGGAGGAGGATCAGCAGGACGTGCAGGCGGTAGCGGCCGCAAACAAGCAAACGGAGAGTGTCGCACGGGCGTCAGAAGAAAGTGTAAGTGTAAGTCGCATGTTGGGCTCGCCCCCCCTCCGCGCACGCATGTGTTTCGTGCTGCAGTATTCGGCACCTGCGCGTCGGGTCTCTCGCTCGCGGCCCCGCCGTGGCCCGAAGCAGAGGAACACATGTCCTCCGCGCGCACGCGCCAGGCGCATGCTGGGCCCCCCTCCGTGGCCCCCCCCGCCTCCGCGCACGCAATTTTACGTGCCAAGCACACTCGCCACCCCCCAAGGTCGGGCTCCAATGGGGCCAAGTGGGCACGCGGAGGCACGTGCCCCGCGCGCGCGCCAGGGGCACGTTGCCCTCCCCCCCCATCCGCGCACGCAGTTCTTTACGCGTGACGAATTCGGCACCTGCAAGTCGGGCCCCTCCCTTGCGGCCCAGCCTTGGCCCGAAACGTGTGAAAGCACCTGCTCCGCGCACACGCGCCAGGCGCACGTTTCCCTCCCCCTCCGTTGTCCTCTCCCCCCCTCTTCCGCGCATCTACATCCACGTGTGAAGAACTCACCACCCCGAAATTGAGTCCGCCTGGGGCCCCGTGGACACGTGAAAGCGCGCGCCCCGCGCGCACGCGCCGAAGGCATCCCCTGCACACACGTAATTTTGCGTGCGCAGATTCGCCCCCCCCCCCCCCCCCCCCCCCCCAAGTTCGGTCCTCCATGGGCCCCCCTCCGCACACGTATTTCTACTTGTTCAATTCGGCACCTGCTAATAATTGGGTTCCTCGCTTGCGGCCCCGTCGTGGCCCGAAACGCGTGAAAGCACGTGCCGAACCCACGGGGGTCGAGACTCATGTTGGAGACTCCCTCCTCCGCACACGTTTTTCCAGGTGTCCAATTCTGGCGCCGCTGCTCGACCCACTTCTAGTACAAGGCCTTTGGCCCGCAAGCTAAACGAGAATCCTGGGCTGGAAGCCTTACAGGGCAATTGTGGCTCTCGCAGGGGAGCCGCGCACATTCGTGTTAAAATATTGCAAACGTTTCACGGATGGAGGGTGGCCCCTTTGCAGAATGTGGTTATCGCCTGAGCGCCGCGCACATTCGTCTACAAGTTTACAGCAGCTTAAATCTGCGCATGGTGGAAGTCCCAGGTTCTAGCGCGGTCTAGGATTGTCAGGACACATCAGTAACATTTATTTGCGGTGCTGAAGTCCCAGAGGTTCTGTTTTGGCACTGTTCATGGTCGTCAGGACACAAGTGTAACGTGGATTCGCAACGCTGAAATCCAAGGAACGATGTGGTGGCACGATGAAAGCCTCTCACACTGTTGTCCTCCTATGGAACACTTTCCGCATTGATAACACATTGTGTGCACCTGTGAAGAGTGAAGTTGGAAGGAGGGTTTATTGCAACATCGCTGATGCGTCGTGGGTTAACACTGGTCTTCCTCCTCCTCTTTTTTTTTTTTTTCCTCTTCCTCCTCCTCCTCCTCCTCCTCCTCCTCCTCCTCCCTGTCTCCCCCCCCTCTCCCTCCATCCCCTCCGAATCGACCCCAAACCCGTCTCAGGCCGCGTTCTGACCATGATAGCGACCCGACTCCAACCGTGGCGAAGCAGCTCTCTCTTTAGAGACCCGGGATATTCTCAGATTGCTCCATCTCCTCCTCCTCCTCCTCCTCTTCCTCCCCCTCCTCTTCCCCTCCTCCTCCTCCTCCTCCTCCTCCCCCTCCCCTCCTCCTCCCCCCTCCACTCACCGCCCCTTCTCCTTCTCCTTCTCCCCCCCCCCCCCCGCCTGTGCCCTCTTAACCACCCCTTCCCCCTCCGCCTCTGCCCTCTTCCCCCCCCCCTTTCCACCCCCGCCTCTGCCCCCTCCTCCTCATGTCTCCCCCTTGCGAGGCCACTGCGGCTCGTGCCTATCTCCCTCCCGTGCTCCCCGTGCAGAGGTCGCCACGCTGGAGGGTGGCGCTGTGGCGTGGCGGCTGCGCGGTGGGTGCAGCACGAGAGGCGCACCAGCGCAGCGAGCGGCGTTGCGCAAATGCGTATCCACGATCTGCTATGTATGAAGGCGACGCGCGTGACGAATGAGCAGCAGACGCACGCACACCACAATCTTGGCTCCTCCCGGTGCTTTTGAACCTCGTCGAAAGAAAAAAACCCTTTTTCGACATGCTGCGGTGACGTGCGTGGAGAACACTGGGCAGCCAGGCTATACTACGGTAGCTGAAGCAGATCGTCAGCCACAATGTTAGTATTATGCGGATGATGACAGACGGGCCTCGTAATTTTGTGATTCGCGCTTCCGCATGCCCGTTCGTACTTTCGACCACATGTCAATACGTAGCGTGAATGGAATGGGTCAGGCGAGCGGACACTGCACCGCGTAGCTTTTTGAAGATCGGTTGCATCCTGCTGGTACTGAATTCCCAACGAGGTCGGGATGGCTTCATAATTTCTCCTCGCTGGAAGTCGCACTGCTGTGTATGGCTCCGAAACTGAGTGACAACGCCCTTGGCGAAAGGCAACCATGCCTTCCGTTTTGTACTCCCACCAGCCCCCCGGGAGTAGGTAGTTTAATGGAGTTCGTTCTGACGACCCCATTCTTCCTGATCGTGGAGGGGGTGACCCCTCCTCCCCCTCGGTCTGGAACCCTCCCCCAGCGAGGGGTTAGAGCGTTCAATCTGGCCTCCTATGGTAACATATAGCCCAAGATGAACTTCAATATGGCGCACTATAGCGTATGCATATTGTGCGACATAGCTTCCAACAAACCTCTGACATGCTTCGATACTGCCCCACGACGGCCCTAAGTGGCCACGGAGTCTTCCAAGGACGCTCTCGAGAGGCCGCAACCCTTTCAACACCTAAGTGTAATCACTGTGTTCTGCCTCTTCGCCGACTTTCTTGTGACGGGCTTGCAAAGCCTCATAATGGCTCCGCGATGGCCCAAGAGGGTACTAACTCTGGTCCACGCGGGCCCAAAGACGGTCCCGAGAAGGCTCCAAGAGACGACCTTTAGGTTTCGGAGATGGGGACTGATATACGTGCCGTACTCTTTGAACCGATGACATTAAAGATGGCCTCAAGAGGGCCCCCGAAGCCTTTACTGTAATTGAAGGTGACAGGCTCCCAATGCCCTGGACACCCTCGGCCGAGGGCCGAAACAATTACTAGGGGGTGAAAAAAGAACAAGTCAAAAATCGCCTACGGCCACTCCCAGCCGGAATCAAAAACAATGGGACGACCCCAGAAGCTAATGAACAAATCAACTCAATCTAACCAACTCGGTCCCTAGTACGACGAGGAGAATGAGGGGAGGAGATGGGACGAGGCCAACGCCATGGCCTTTTTGGAACCCCACGCCCTCCGCCGGGAGCGGCGGTCGGGCGTCGAGTGGGCGGGAGAAAATTCTTGTCTTCGGCCCTGAAGCGTGCAAAGCGTACCGCTCTGCACCACACTACCAACGAAGGAAAGGGCGCGGGCGGTCGTCATGTCACCGTGGTCTAGGTGGCGGTTGTCGGTCCCAGCCGCGTCCGCCTGAGCTGGGTCAGGAAGGGGCTGGGGGGAGGAGACGCGGGCCGCCGCTTTGAGGGGCGGATCGCCGTCCACTGCCGGTAGGCGCAGGCTGCCGAGCCGGCGGCCCTCTCGGAGCTGGAGCAGAGCTGGAGTCCTGGGGCAGGGCCTCCAAGATGCGGACCTCGAGCTTGCACGCCACCAGCTGCAGCCGGGACTGGTCCTGAGTGGCAGGGACTGCGCAGGTGGTGACCCAGCCCGCCTTGGCCGTGACTCCGGGCCGAGCCGCACAGCAGTCCGCGGCGGCGACGCCGCAGGCCCGACCTGGGCGGCCTGGCGCGAAGCGGTCGCACCCCGGCCCAGAAGTGATGGGCGGCAGCGGCGGGGGGCCCGCAGCACGAGCACCCCGCCGCCTCCACGAGGCGCGTCGGGGTCCGAGCGGCTCCTCCGCGCCAGGCCACAAGCAAATATGGTGGTCCTTAGCAAGGGCCCAGCGCCACGGGGTCCCAGGGGCCCTGGAAGACGCCTCGAGGTCGATGTCCAGCATCACCTCTTCGTCTTGCCGGGGCCGGCGGGCGCGACCCTGGACAAGCTGGGCGCGGGCGCAGACCCAGAGGATGTGCTGCCCGCGGGGAGGGGAGGCGCCGAAGTGGGGCGGGAAGCCTGAGGCAGCTGCGGCCTCGTCCACGGCGGTCGCCGCACGAGGGCCGAGGCCAGGCCCGGCGCGGATCCAGACGGGCAGCAGCCCGGGGGAGTCCCTGGAGGGAGGTGCTGAAGACGGGGTGGAGCTGGAGGCGTTCGGCCCACCAACGCCAGTGGTCCCGCCATGCGCAGCGGGTGCGAGTGACGCCCCAGAAAGTGAGCTTGACCGGGGAGGCGGGGGGGCACTCCCCGAAGGGGGCGGCCCACGGGTGTTTCGAAACCACGGACATGACCGCCGTCAGGGCGCGGACGCCCATGCTACTGGGGATGTGCAGCAACTTCTGCGTGCAGTTCTCGATGACCCCCCAGCCGTCGCGAGGGCCCTGGACCGGAGTGGAAGCAAGGTGGCGCCCAAGTGCTCCGCACACCCGTCGTCCTCTCAAAACTGCCGCTTGATGGTGTGCTTGGTGAGCCCCAGGCGGCTGCCGAAGGTGGCCGTGACCGTCAAGGCCCCGGAGAGGGCCTCAGCGTGGGTGCTCTGCAAGCTCCGGTCGTCGACGTAGGACCAGGAGCGGACCTCAGTAAAAGTACGCATGGCGCCCCCAAGGCCTCCAAGGAGGCCCCAGGAGGGCCTAGTATTAGGTCGGGCATGGTCTCCTACAAACGGGTTTTGGAAGACAAAGGAAAGCATAGTCAAACAAATCCGTCGGCCCCCGTGTGGGGCCACCAGGCTGTAGGGCGAAGGTTCGCAGTTTCCTGTACCAGTTGCAGCTTCCAGTTTCCACTGTTACAGTTCTGCTTCTTGCTGCTGACTGTTCCTTGTTGACTTCTTGCTGCTTACTGTTCCTTGTTGATGGACCGCGCGAGGGGGGGGGGAGGCCCAAAACGGGCATTTTTACTACGCCCTGAGCATGTGCTCTGAATTGCTGGGGTGGGTAAAAATTCTCACCCCTCCCGCAGATCGGCAGGGTCAGGGTCCAAACACACACGGGATTTGCCACATTTCTGAAATTCGGTGGCATCCCTTACGCAGATCGGCGGGGTCAGGGTCCAAAAACACTTGGGATTTGCTACATTTCTGAAATTCGGTGGCACCCCTCACACAGATCGGCGGGGTCAGGGTCCAAAAACACAAGGAATTTGCAACATTTCTGACATTCGGTGGCACCCCTTACGCAGATCGGCGGGGTCAGGGTGCAAAAACATATATGATTTATTACATTCCTGAAATTCGTTGGCACTCCTCACGCAGATCGGCAGGGTCAGGGTCTAAAAACAAAAAGGATTGGCCACATTTCTTAAATTCGGTGGCACTCCTCACGCAGATCGGCAGGGCCAGGGTCCAAAAACATAAGGGATTTGCCAC